TGGCAAACACAAACTAGATACCCAATGGATACATGTAAAAGCCCAAAATGTAATCGTGGCAAAAAGCCCCTAATACGAGTCGTGGCAAAAATCCTCTAATATGAGTCGTGGCAAAAAGCCTCTAATTATCTAACACAATACGAATCGTGGCAAACATAGACTAGGGAGAAAACACGATTGTGTTACTTCGGGTAAACGATGATAGTTAATAAAATCTAAACTACAATATGCAAGAGTCTTACCCCTCTGGTGCTTGACCTAATAGCCTGGGAGTTAGACTTTGTGAATACTTGTACTCTCCCTTTCTGGAAGTCGCTATGCTAAGAGAAATTGACCGTTAGTTCATCTCTAACGAACGAAATGCGCTCATCAGTATCCTGATAAATAAGGCAAATCCCCATTAAAAATATTCATCATCGACACCTATCTTGGGATTTGTGTGAAAAAGAAAGATATCTCAATTTCTAGTTTGACAAAATATTATATCTACTCTATTCGTGTTGCACCTGGGACTGGGAATTAAATTAGTAATTTTTTTTGCATATATTAAGAATAAGCATGTAATGTCGGCTCATCATGACCGAGGGGGTCTAACAAATCGCTTTCACATTCGTTTTTTTATTTATAAACTTTGCTTAAAAATCTTACCCAGCCGTCAATCTAATACCTATTCACTCATTAATTAACACAATAAGCTGCAACAGGTGGTGAACCTGGGAAAAAATGTATTTTGCTAAAAAATATGTAACTGCTATTTACTTCACGTATATTAAAAATCGCGTTTTAAAAATAATTTATACAACAATCAAAAGAATGTTCAAAACTTGATTTGCCATTTTCGGATACCTCTACTAAATTGAACCAAATAGTGATTGCATATTTATCTGCAATTGAACATTTTTAGAAGTCATCTTATTTTTAAGCTTATAAAATTCAAATTGTCACTGAAAAAGCATGACACACGGGAAACAGAGATGATTGTTTTGCGTAACGCTCACTAAAAATATGGACATAAATAATTAATTCAGAGTCCATTTGACATTAGGCACAGGTCACATTAATCTGTATTAGATAATGTTGAAAAAGATTTATGACAATATATAGGTCACATTAATCTATATTAAAAATTTTGGAAACAATTTGTATACAATTTAATAATTTTGTTAAATTCATGCTATTATGACATGAATCTGCTGTAAGACTTACATTATATGTCTACTGTAAAACCTACGTCAAGTGTCTACTGTAAGACCTACGTCATATGTCTACTGTAAGACCTACTTCATGTGTATACTGTAAGACCTATGTCATATGTCTACTGTAAGACCTACGTCATATATATATAATGTAAGACCTACGTCATATGTCTACTGTAAAACCTACGTCATATATCTACTGTAAGACCTACGTCATATGTTTAGTGTAAGACCTATGTCATGTGTCTACTGTAAGACCTACCTCATATGTCTACTGTAAGACCTATGTCATATGTCTACTGTAAGACCTGCGTCATGTGTCTACTGTAAGACCTACGTTATATGTCTACTGTAAGACTTACGTCATGTGACTGCTGTAGGACCCACGTCATATGTTTACCTATTACTAAAGACCTACGTAATACGTCTACTGTGATACCTAAGTCATGTGTCTACTATAAAATCAATACCTTAATCAAGAGATGAATAATCAATTAGGTCTGTAGTTCTTTCGAATAACACGTTTCCTTTTTTATGAGAGAACAAACACGTGTACGTGTTGTATAAAAAAATATATCCATGGACTGTATACGAAGATTAAATTTAAGCAACAAAAGAATTCATTCTATTTGAAAGAAACGTATTGCTAATATAGTGACGCTTAAAAATGGACAATTGGACAATACAAGAAGGCATTGACTCCATTCCTCGGTCGAGATGGTGGTATAAAACTGAAATCTAAAATAAAACGAAAAAAAAAAGAAGAAAACACTTTGACCAAAAGATTTAAATAATTACCAAGTGTAACCTAATTTCCATTTTTCCAAATTATTTTCATTTTTTCCTGTTTTGCATAAATGAAAATCGTTTTACTTCGTGTACTTGAGCTATTCGGTTGCACCATTCATGCTTATATTAAAGATACTTATGTGGTTGTTTAGATGTAAAGTCGTTCTACTAAACAGCCGATAAGATTAGAGACAAGCATTAGAATGGTACCTTCAGAAATGGATTCCCTCCTCCGTGGGTTGTATTAATCACAAACACTTACAAATCATAAACTCCTATATATGTATTTCCGTGTTTTGTTTGTAAGGAATCACTAAATGTTTGTGCTACTGTTGCGAGTGGCAGTATAACTTGCATTATACCAGTAATTATACACTTTTTGTCGGTTTGTACTCTTTTCTTGTTCATAAGCTACCATTATTCATTATTGGGAACCTATTACGCTTATCATTATATATTAAAATTTTATAACATACAAAGTTCCATGACTGCCATTCCACAATAATACATGCAGGTGCGTACCTATAGAATTTATCACCAGAGGTGGATCCTCTCTTCCGCATCCCCACAAATAACGTTAAAATGTAATCACAGAAGAATATATTATATTTGCAGCAGATTTTTAAACAGTGCAGTGCTGTCATAAGCAAAGTGAAAAGACTTTTACTTTGGTGAATTTCATTTGGTTTGAAAACTTGTACTGGTATTTCAACTTTCCCGACCCACCACCCCGCTGTTATCCGGGGCGGACCGCCCCTTTCCCCTCGCATCATCTATAGTACACTACTGAGTACATGTATCATTCAGATAATGGTATAATTCCATTTTTCTCCTTTATTTTAATCGATTAGTTTCTTTATCAAATTTGTCTTTTATTAGCATGATGCCAATTACATCCATTATAATCATCATGAACAGTATGAATCTATTCTATTCGCGTGGCCCCGAGTGTCCGAGTGGTCTAAACCGCTATCCATTACGGATCACTGCCATCTCACCTCTGTCTGCGTGTGTTCGAGTCTAGGATTCGGCGAATGTGGATATGTGAGAAAGCTTGCCAGTAGCTTCTCTTGGGTCGGTGGTTCTATCCGGTGATTTCCAGGTTTCTTCCTCCACCATTAATACTGGCCGCCATGAATAACCTATCGAATGTTGAAAAATGGCGTTAAGCCCAACAACAACAATGAATCTATTCAAGTGATGTTCCATACAGTCGTTGGTTGTACCTGTCTATATATGTTCACAAATACCAATTTTTACATAAGTGAGCTTTTTGCCTCATCGTACATCCGTCTTTAATCTACCGTCGTCATTCGTCCTTCACCTTCTTTTCAACACACCGATTTCAATTAAATTTCAACGACTAGCGGCAATTCCTTTACATCTGCTTAGGTCGGCTATCGTGATGTGTCCTCGGTCAAGGCACTTTAGTCCATTTCGTCCTTAAACTAAGTAACACTTGTGTTGTTTTGCCTTAAAGTACCATTTCAACCAGCCATCAAATATAGCAATTGTCACTATATATAAATATAACACAAATTTTAATAATTTCTTCATATTTGTTGAACATAATTTGACTAAATTTGTGAGGCAGTAACCAGGATTGAAGGACTTTCAATTTCATTTAAATTATTCCTCTCTGCATATGTGACCTCCCATTGCTGAAAATATTAATAATAAACTTTAAACGACTTCTTTTAGAAGAAAAGAAGAAAGAAAGAAAGAAAAACAACAAAAGAAGATTGAACAGAATTTGCCATAATTTGACAGAAATCTTTAAAGTAGATAGAAGTAATGGCGTTCCGTTTTCAAATATAGCCGACAATACCAAAAATAGAAACACCTTACGAACTCTTCTCTAAATCAGCTGAACAGACACTGGCTACGTTTGATAGAAAGCATTATGGCCTGAATGAAATTCTTATGTTTGCAAACGATGCCTATCTGACATCATGTATGTACATAATTACATTAAAAAGTAGAAAAACTATTTCACTTCTGAAAAACGCTGAAATGAATTTTACCAAATCTGATAGATAGCACTATGGCTTGAAGACCATTCAATTTTATATTCTTCGTCAAATGTTGCTGCTGACGCTAAAATGTTAATCCATTTAAATTTGAGCAACTTTTCTTTAAAGAACTGCTGAAGAAAACTGAGCCAAATTTGATAGAAAGAATCTTGTCATCAAGGATTTCAATATTGGACAAATGACCGATCTCCTTTAAACTACTTTTTGAATCACTTTTAGTGAATTTAATTTATGTATGTATTTATAAGCATGTTTTAGTGCTACGATTATCTAAATCTGGCAATGATATGTGTACTATAACTATTAAGTGTTGTATGTTTTTATGTGTTGCATAATGCATACATACATACATAAATACAAACACACATACACACACATACATACAAACATGCATGCATGCATGCATGCATGCATGCATGCATGCATACATACATACATACATACATACATACATACATACATACATACATACATACATACATACGTGATGGTTTATATTTTATTTTGTTTGTGTAATTAATATTTTATGTTCAGTAGAAAAGCCATTAAGAGATGATGGATTTAATTTGTGTTATCATGTAATGATTCTAATTAAAGATCACTTGACTTGCATGATACGATAGAACGAGAAATACTGGTAATATATTACCTGTATTTTATATACGTCTCATGTAATATGATGCAGATGAGTGACTTTCAGCATAAATACATAGAATCAATAATTGATCCGTATATTTGTCGTGATTATGTTATTATTTTTAACGTAGCTTTAACAATTTTTCAGTTATATCGCTACGATGTCTGTAGTATGGCAGTTTATAGTGATGTAAAGCACTGGGGCATCATGCTGCAGACATGTAGCATGATGTCTCACCTAGTCACATGATTCTGACACGAAGCCGACCAGTCCTAACACTAAGCTCTTAATGCTGAGCGCCAAGCGCGCGCGGCAGCTGTTAGTACCATTTTTGTAAGTCTATGGTATTACTTGACCGGGGATCGAACCCACGACCTCCCGCATCTGAGGTGGACGCTCTAATCACTTGGCCAACGGAACGTATATTTGGTGATTATATCGTTTTGAGGGCAATCTTTTTGTACATGTACTGTTTAATTATAAAAGAAAATTTGAATAATCTGCAATGATGATTCTTATTTCTAGCTCAGAAACAATACATAGTGCTTGGGATAAATTCTACAACCACTATTATAAAGTTGTCCGTATTTGTTATTGTAATATAGAAAAAATATATTTTCACTCCTAGACCACTGGAGTGGCATACATAAACGGTTTAATTATTGAATTAGTTTCGCAGTCATGGTCTGAACAGGAAGATCATTCGATCGCTTTGTCGGTATAGGATAAAAACAAAGTCGATACGAAATCAACTCCAGCGTGATCTAATCAAAGTTTATAATTGAAAAGCATTTTATCGCTGTCACGTGGCTTAGACATTATCAAATATTTGAAAAGGCTTTTTTCGTGGAGAACAGTGTCAGCTGCTATGCGATCGTACGATTTGAAATCGCTTTGCAGTGGGTTCTATGGTGCTTTTATTTTGATACAATATGCCGATGACGTATCAGCCATGATAAATGGCATATAGGGGACAATTTGACGGATATTGTTCACTTACATTGTTACTGAATTGTAAGTGTAGCGAATGAACAGAATGAAGTCAGAAAAGCGTGATAGAGGCTGAATAGAACCTGTTTTTCGATTTCAAATGCTCGCTTTATCGTACAGGCCGCCAATTCATATAAAACTGAACAATTCAGTACAAAAGGGTATACATACACCTTCGCGAGACAGCCAGCATAGCGACGTGTGTCTTTTCAAAATGTTACACTTAGGCAAAGAAATTTTGACCTCCATCAAATAAACTTTCTCCGCTTTTATATCCACCATAATACTTTTTCAATAGTTAAGAAATTTACAACTTGTATTTAAGATCTGTACAACAGCTATTTCCCAGGTAATCAATAAAATTTAACTTCTGTATGCAAGGGTGATGGAATACAATGCGCTCTTTTCGTTTTCAACCACCGTAGAAAGACAGATTCAGTCTAAAAGTATAAATTACATAAGGCTAGTTATGCCAATAGATGGAGAGTCGACATAGTGTGGCTTTTAATGCTGGTTTAGTCGTCTAAAGAAGTTTATCAATGATTTGTGTGACTCCATTGATTTTGATGTGGTGTATCGGGCAGGAGCAGTCACTCTTTAGTCAGATGGGGAGCAGTGCATTGGGATATGATAACATGACTTCTAGTTATGAGGCAAATTGGGCGATGGGTGGGAAGGTAACACAGCCATCGTAAATTACAGGTGAGTAACATTCAAACTTGCTATAGATGTTCACTAGGAGTGGTCATTAAGTTCTTCCATATATGTATAAGTGTGTGAATAATGTTCTTAGAATGTTATATACTGATGATTGCGTATAAGTGTGTGAATAATGTTCTTAGAATGTTATATACTGATGATTGCGATAAAGATGTCGTTGCCAACGATGACATCAGCTTTAACAACGATGAAAATGACAACGATTATAATAAAGATATCGTGTTAACAAAACGATATTATTTACTAGTTTATTCCACTGGTAAGACACGTAAGGCTAATTCTTCTGCTTGTACTAACGTCTACATATACCAAAATACAAATTTCCATTCGTACCAATTTCTATTCGAACCAACAGTTCCTAGTGCCAACTTCTACTTGTACAAACTTCTACAAATACCCATTTTTACTAGTAACAAATTCTACTCCTACCAACGTCCACTCGTAATCAGTGTTGTTCCGGATTACTAATTTCTTTTTAAATGTAGTGATTCACTTGGCTGGGAAATTTCTATGCTTGTCATTTGTCTTTTTTCTTCCACTATTTATCTTTTACATGTATGTATGTATGTATGTATGTATGTATGTATGTATGTATGTATGTATGTATGTATGTATGTATGTATGTATGTATGTATGTATGTATGTATGTATGTATGTATGTATGTATGTATGTATGTATGTATGTATGTATGTATGTATGTATACATATATACATATATATATATATATATATATATATATATATATATATATATATATATATATATATATATATATATAATTGTAGCGGGGGACAATCAAAACTTATAAAACTTATAAAAATTGAAAACCTTATGAAAACAAAAACATTACTTTAAAATCACTTATGAAAGTTGCTGAATTTATTTTGAATAAGATTGTAGCAACTTTTTAATGCGAACAGTAACCTTTGTCTGATTTAAAAGATGTGGTTGAAATAATTTGTTTTTAATTGATTTTAAAAAAATTCAGAACTCAAGAAAAATAAAAAAAGCCACTTTAGGTTACATAAGCATAAAATAAATCAAGAAAGAAATTGCTATTTGTCTTATACAATTATGTACTTTATTCTGTTGATAATTTCATTGTTATTCTTTAACTGGCCCATGAAAAGAGACAGATAGACAGAGATTACACATGCACTACTTTCGCAGAGTATCTCATGGATTATTTTAGCTAGCTTGGGGGTGGGGTACAACAGGTCTCATTCTAAATCTAGAAAAATAATTTGTACTCTTCAAGATTTGATCAGCATTTCAAAGTACAGGTCTGAGACTGATTTAGGATTATATGGACACTCGAATTTTACATTCCAAGAGCGATAATCATTAAACTACGAAAATCCTGGTCCTATGCTATGTTTATGCACGTTATGCATGGGCATAAACGACAGATTGAATCTACATCTGTCAGCTGAGATATACATATCTTCGTGAACCTGTCAGAGCGCTAAATAATATTGAATATCTTGGATGTTTAAAAACAAAATAGTTTTATACCTTATCGTAGATGTTTTAAATAATTTTACATAAAGCGTAGCTTTCTTTTAGTATTTCGGAAATTTTCATTTTATCTTCGTATTAAGACATTTAAATTATTATTTTCATAATATTTAAAAATAGTGATATTCATCATTTGCTTTTTGTAAAGATGCTTTGTGCCTTAATTGTTTTAGTGTTATATGTAATTTTTGCACGGAGTTTAGAATCATCGTTCTAAAAAAATTTTATTATTTTTTTAAAAAAATGATAAATTAATAAATAGTCAAACAACCCTAGCTATCGCCCATGTATCCGTCTCACTTTGAGTTTGTCTGTCATTCTCATTATCTTTTAGTCTGTCTTTTCTTCTCCACCCGTACGTCATCTTTCCTTCTCTTTCAGGTAAACATAATATTTGGACTCTTTCAACAAATAGATTGGTTTACAAACTAAATGATTATTTGAACTGATTTCCATGTTATAGCAGTACAACTAGAATCACTTTCAAGTCCTTAGTACGAACCATAAACGAAAACTTAATCAGAAAGGCTATTTTTAATTTTGAATAAGATATTTGAATGCATACAAATTATTTCAGAGCCAGCAGAAAGACTACGTGACCATGTTACGTGCGCATAGAACTGATATTAGTGCCAATATCATGCTCTTTGATCTAGAAGTACATCTGCTTCGCCTATTTTCGGCATACCCTGATTCGTAAATGAAGTGGAGTATTGTGGACATTCACAGCCCAATAATGTCATTTCTTATCTGTCTTTGATTTGTAGGGAAGGCTTCATTTTAATGTTTCCTTAAAATCGTTTACAATCTACTGCGTTTACATTTAAAATAGATTTTAAAAATACTCCCTGATTCTATAATACATTCTGAATAAACTGTAAAATAAAACTACTTATTTATCTGTCATGTGTATAACGCTCACCTACGTATATCGCTCACCCTAATGCGAGAAAAATAAACCCTGATCTATCGTCGTGTATCTTGTGGCAACATATCACAACAGATGATTAGGCTAGTATGTATGTAGGTAGGTAGGTAGGTTTATGTATGTATGTATGTATGTATGTATGTATGTATGTATGTATGTATGTATGTATGTATGTATGTATGTATGTATGTATGTATGTATGTATGTATGTATGTATGTATGTATGTGTGTGTGGATGTATAGAGGTAGGTAGGTAGGCAGGCATGCATGCATGCATGCATGCATGCATGCATGCATGTATGTATGTATGTATGTATGTATGTATGTATGTATGTATGTATGTATGTATGTGTGTGGATGTAGGTAGGTAGGTAGGTCGGTAGGTAGGCAGGCAGGCAGGCAGGTAGGTAGGTAGGTAGGTATGTATATGTATGTATGTATGTATGTATGTATGTATGTATGTATGTATGTATGTATGTATGTATGTATGTATGTATGTATGTGTGTGTGTGTGTGGATGTATGTATGTAGGTAGGTAAGTAGGCAGGCAGATATGTATGTATGTATGTATGTATGTATGTATGTATGTATGTATGTATGTATGTATGTATGTATGTATGTATGTATGTATGTATGTATGTATGTATGTATGTATGTATGTATGTATGTATGTATGAATGTATGTGGATGTATATATGTAGGTAGGTAGGTAGGCAGGCAGGCAGGTAGGTATTATATGTGTTTATGTATGTATGTATGTATGTATGTATGTATGTATGTATGTATGTATGTATGTATGTATGTATGTATGTATGTATGTATGTATGTATGTATGTATGTATGTATGTATGTATGTATGTATGTGTATGTGTGTATGTATGTATGAATGTATGTATGTATTTATGTATGTATGCATGCATTATTGTATGTATGTATGTATTGCATGTATGTAGTTGCATCTTTTTTCTGCTTGATTGCGCTTATCTATTTTAAGATCAGGTGAATGATAATTCGTGCATATCTGTCATCCTGATTCCTAAATAATCATGTACAATTTGGGCGATTTCCATTTTTTAAAGTACTGAACAAACTTAATCATGCTTTTAGTTGCCATGGTCACCAAAGCTCCACCAAAGACTCTGGAGACGTTTATATCAATAACCCTTTTCCGAAATTCTTCTTTAATTGGCAACATCTTTTGGTTTCTCTGTCGTGAAATATTACTGTTTTGAAACATGTACATTGCAATTTCTTCCCAAAAA